AAAGCAAGCTATAGATTTAATGCAATCCCCATTAAGATACCAACAGCATATCACAGACCTAGAACAAACTCTCCAAAAATTCACATGGAATAAAAAAAGACCCCGAACAGCCACAGTAATCCTAAGAAAGAGCAAAGTTTGAGGGATCACAATACCAGATATTGATCTATATTACAAAGTCACTGTTCTCAAAATTGCCTGGTACTGACATAAGAACAGACATATAGACCAGTGGAACAGAACAAAGAACCGAGAAATCGACCCAAGCCATTATGCTCAATTAATATTTGACAAAGGAGGCAAGAACATACAATGGAGTCAAGTCAGTCTCTTCAATAAATGGTGTTGGGAAAATTGGACAGATACATAAAAAAAAAAAATGAAACTAGACCACCAACTTACACCATACACAAAAATAAACTCAAAATGGATAAAGGACTTAAATGTAAGACAGGAAACCATAAAAACCTTAGAGGATTCCACAAGCAGCAAAATACCAGGCAGCAAAATATCTCGTAGCAATATCTTTACCCATACACCTCTTAGGACAGTGATGGTGAACCTATGGTGAGGCGGTAGTGGTAAGAGATCAACCAAAAGATTTGTATGCACATATATGAGCATAACCAATGGACACAGACAGTAGAAGGGTGAGGGCATGTGCTGGGTGGGCAGGGGAGAGGTTAATGGGGGGGGGGGGCGGAAAAGAAAACTTATGTAATACTCAAACAATAAAGAATTTAAATAAATAAAATAAAAAATACTTAAATTAGTTCACAAAGAAGAAAGGTCTTCAAGTTTTTCATTCATTTGTCCCCAAAGAGTTCCCCCCCAAATTAGAACCCAGTACACAGAAGAGAAAAATAACACCATATTTGTTCAAGCACAGAGCATATGTTCTTCACTTATATTAGCTTATTTTATACATATCTCACAGAGATGTATAAATATATAAATATGCATATCTATATACACACATCAGAAAAAAAGTAAGTCATGAACCCATCTTTTCAGTTATCTTTGTAAAAGTCAATAAAATAATGCCAGCAACAGCATTATCAAATAACCAGGTGATGATGACTGCTCTAATTAGACTCTAACAAACCAAATATGCATTTATCTCAACACATCCATCTTTCTTGCCCTCAACATTCCTTAGATTATTATAAGGTAAAAAGTATGGGTAGGAATTAACGCCAAATAATTTCTCTTAAAAAATTTAATGATCTCTGAATATAGTTCCAATCACTGAACAGATAACCTTCCTTTAAAACACAGTTCAACAGTCTAATACAATTAATTTAAAAAAATTTTTTTAAGTTTTCTAAACAGAATTTCTCATCTACTTCATAAATACTTTTGTCTAAAGAACAATCTGTTAACACATGCAGTTTAAATCATTAACTACACAGCACCAAATCATTAGTATAATCAGCATGTAAATTTCATGGAGTCACTGAATGAGTTCTCTTAGGCATTTTATACAACATCCAGTACAAGGATGCTCATTAAACATTTATGATGTTTAGTAATAAAAATAATGTGCCAAAACAAAAGTATTTACTACACCACTTGGCTGTCATGTATAATATAAACCACTGATCAGTATCTGCTTCTCCGAGAGCAATTATAAGAAACCAAAACCAAAACAAGCCCCATTCAAATCAAAAAGTCTGTCTCCTGTGTCCAAGAATACTGTTTCATTTTTATGTCAGAAACTGTCAGACAGCATGCAACATGCAGACTGTTGGGGTATTTAACCTAAGTAGTTATGCACCATTAACAAAGCACAAAGCCTAAAATATTTCATGCATATTTTTAGAAATATTTTTCCTTACCTTTCCCATTTTGCCATGTAGTATACCAAGATAAAGTAAGGAATGAAGTGATAAATGCTAAAACGGTGGCTACAGTTCCATTTCGGAGCCTCATCTCATTTCACCATCACACTGGTTCATACATTTACGAAGTCAACTGAATCCAGTACTCCTGGCTCTGGGCCAATGAAAACAATCAATAAGAGAGGCTCATTTCAGATGTGCTGCAGAATAAGTTTGACAGCAACACCAGTCACTCCTGCTATTCAGAATTGTCTTCACAGTCTTCATAGGTTGATGTCTCAGGTTTTCTTCCTATCCAAGAGGAAAACAGGAAGGAAAAACTTGTTGAGTAATGCAAAATATTGGTTTCTTCATTTATTGGTCACCATTACAAATGGACTTTTGGCAGGGCTAAACTGTGTATGTGAAGATTATTCCCACACCTAAACCACTCATTCATATACTAGAATTATAGGCTTCTTTTCTTCAGGGGAAAAAAGCATCAAACTATTCCCTCCTTGTTGGTTTGGTTTTGTCTGTGAAAAGAAAGTTATGATTACTTATTTAAGAAGGGAAGTTGTGGGTTCATTAAATATACAATAAGCCAGATTCCATGCTGAGAACTCTAATGATCACACAATGGTTCCTGAGTAACATAATCTTCACTATCCTCAGTTTTCCTACACCACAATAGCTGTTCTAAAAAAACATTAAGTAAAGTGACAGACTACAACATCAAAAAACCTGGGTCCTAGATCTGGCTCCATCATTATTTCACAGGAAGGTATGTCCCTTATATAGGCCTTACCCTTTC